AATATTCTGTGATAAACATATTTACATATAAACTTGTGTATGTATTCTGAATTATTTTATTTGATATTCAAAGAAGGAAATTGTTGTAACAATGTTTCTATTTCCACATATCATTGATCAAAATTTTTCATAGTTTAATCATTATTTATAATTTTTTTCTCTGAAAAAGTTACATTTTTTCCATCAGAAACCTACTTTGCATCAGGCAGCATGCAATACAGGAGTAACTAGACAGATGCCTTTGGGGAATTTATGGTACAGAGCAAAAAATAGGCAATAAGAAAAAATAAGAAGAAAAATCCTCCAGGTAAGCATTTTTGTCCATTAAAATTTTGGTGCCACATATTTAGAACTTGTGGAGGCCCTTGGTATTTTAAAGATATAAACCCATTTGGGGCCATTTTTGGTTCACGGTATTTCCCAGGTCTTATTGCAGACTAATGTTCATTCACTTTCTTGTAGAAACTAATGCTGCCTTGAGAATCATTATCTACCTTTCCTACTCCTCACCACATCTGAAAGCTTTCTAGAGTTCCTCACAAAAAAAAAAAAAAAAACCAAGTCTGGCACTGGTATCATGGGGACTTCAAAGTCCCTGTGGAAAACTGATGCTTCATGTTATGTTCTTGATTGCATTTTCCCTCTATCTCAATTGCATTTCCCTTTATCTTATTTTAGTTATATACTCCCATGATCACATCCTTTCTCCACTTCCAAAGTCACAAATCCAAACATCCTACTGTCTAGCCACAATTATTTGCCCAAATATGTATTAACTATGCCTATTTTTTAACTTTACAAAAACTACTCATCTATTAGCAATTTTCTTTCTCAAGTACCAATCCACTATTGTGATTCTTGAGTTTAGATTCATGCCCTTTATTATAATAAATTTCTTTTAAGTATGTTCAAATCTTTTAAATACTCTCCTTCATTCTAACTCATCCATCCCAACATAAGTATGAACCAAATCAATAACCATATTTGGGTAGCCACCTGGAGAACAGAATGGTGCCACTAAAATGATTACCAACTCAGACTAAGAACAGAGCCCTACTAAATTACACATTTGCTCAAGACAGCTCACTCCACCTAATTAATGCTCAAATGTACACCCTACACACTCTTCCAGCCTTGACTCCAGAACTCACCTGTTGACTCTTGGCATAAAAGCTTGCCTACTTAATCAGAACCAATCTGCAAGAAACCCACACAAATTCAATACACTAAATTTAAAACATATCTGCACTTGCTCCCACTCACTTGGGCTTCCTTCTTGGTGAAGAAACTGTCTCTCCTGTCAAGAAGTCATCTCTTCGCTTGTTCTCTGGACACCAATAAGAAAGATTAGGCTGAGCATTCATAACCATGGACCTGCAAAGCATTATTCAGGGCTAAAATCTGCACTGTCTGTATAGCTGAGAAATTAACCAATAGCTGTCCAAATGAGGAGAACCCATTGAGATAACACATAAGTACATGAAAAATATATTCAATGTAATTGTACTTAGTTTAGGAATTGCAAATTAAAGCAACAATGAGATGCCACGACACACCTATTAGGTTGGCTAAAATCTAATACACTGGCAAAACCAAATTCTGGTAAGGATGTGGTTCAACAGGATTCTTATTTTTCTGATAGGAATGCAAAATTATAAAGGAACTTTGGAAAGCAGTGTGGCAATTTTGTTCAAAGGTTTACATACTCTTATCATATGATCCAGCAATCATGCACCTTATTATTGACCCATAGGACTTGAAAACTTATGTCTACACGAAAACTTATATATAATTGCCAAACGTTGCAAGCAACCAGAGGTTCTTGAACAAGTGAATGTATAAACAAACTCTGAAACAGCCATACAATGGAATATATTCAGCAATAGGAATAAATAGGCTATCAAGACACATAGAAAAAGACATTTAAAAATCTTACATGGATATTACTAAGTGAAAGGAGGCAGTCTGTACAGGTTACATATTGTATAATTCCAATCTTATCACTCTCAGAAAAAAAAAAAGAAACCTATGGAGGCAGTAAAAAAAAAAATCAGTTATTTCCAAGAGTTTGAGGAGAGCAAGGAAGGAATAAATATGAGATGCACAAGGGATTTTTAGGGCATTGAAAATACCCTGTATTATACTATAATGCTGGATACATGCCATATATTTTTCAAAACCCATAGAACTGTACAACAGAGTATACCTTAATATAAACCATACACTTTTATTAGTAAAAATGACTCATTAATTCATTAATTGTAACAAATATGCCACACCAATTCAAGGTACTAATAATAGTGGAAACTCTAGGTGAGTAAGGAAGGAGGGGGAAGGATGTACATGGTAACTCTCTGTAATTTCTACTCAACTTTTCTGTAAACATAAAACTGTTCTAAACAAATCCAATTTTTTAAATGCAATACTTGAAATAAAAAAATTAAAAATCTGTGGATTGATTAAATAAAATTTAGAAAGAGCTAAGAGATTATTAGACTTGAAGATAGATTAGAAAAATGTATTCCAATGTGACACAGAGAAACAAAGAGCTACAAAATAATAGAGATTAAATGTCTTGTAGGATAAAGACAGAAGATAACATTTTGAGAAAGAATATCTTTAATTCATAAGAAAAACAACTAGACTACACTTATCACTTAAGGGACATAAACCTGAACCATATGGGCATGAAATACTTGGGAGTAAAGGATATAAAATGGTATACTAAGAAAACACTAACTAATAGAAAACTTCTGCAGCTATATTCAAAACCAACTAAACAGTATACAAACAGTATCAAAATTGTCATGTTTAAGAGATCAGCTGTTCCAGGGGAAAAATACAAGAATTACAAGAAACTGGTAAATAATAATCACTGTGGAATATTTAACACTTTTCCAAATAATTGCTGAATAATTTTTAATTGATGTGTATATAGAAGCTTTGAAGAGTATCCTGCATATTAGGAAATCTGTACCATTTTATTGCATAACAAACATCATATTATATAATGTTACAGAAAAAACTAACTATATCATATGTATAGAAAGATACAGTCATATAAAAGACTAAAAAACATATTAAAATTTGACAATTATGCCTCAGTTTTCTAATGTTGGTCATTGAAGTTTGTTTTTTAATTATGTCTAGTTTTGTTTATTTAATAACATTGTAAAAAAGTTAAATATTAAAGAGTATACCATGAAAAAGCTAGAGGAAAAATCTAAGAATCATAGTCAAACAGATTTTTTAAAATAGTCTAATACTAAAACAACAAAACCTTCAAAGAATGATGGATTTTAAAATATTTTATATACCTGTTTAGGTAAAACAAAAGCCAAGCAAACCAACCAAAGAAAATGACAGAAATTATAACCTGAGGAAGCACTTTCAATAAATATTAATACTGTGGGGAAGTTATGTATTCTCTCTGAGCCTCAAATTACCTTTCTGTAAAGTGGAAATAATAGAAACAATAACAAGTCTGATGTACAGATTAAATAAAATCAGGTTCGAAATAAGATTTTCACAGGTTCAATAAACACTTGTTACTATTAATCCACAAAACAATACAATATCCAATAAACACAGTAAAATATATTTGATGTTTTTATTAACTAAATAAATTCAAATTAAAGTACAATGAGAAAATAATTTTACATAACTACATGGAAAATTTTTAAAAATAGACTACTTACAAATGCTAGTAAGGGTGCAATAAATTTTTGTCATTTTCATGTAAGTGTGAGAATTAATAACAATTTCTCTAGATGCAATTTTCCAGTGTACCAGAGGAACCTAAAATCTTCATACCCCTGACCTAGTAATCTTTCTTAAGGCTAAAAATCATGCAAAGCTTAATACATGAAAAAATAGACAAATCTTATGTACAAAATTGTCCCTAGCACAGCATTTATATTGTTAACAAAACATAAGTATTAAAAACCAAAAGGATGAACGCTATCTCAAAAGTATAAAAAAAATTTTTAATTATACTTTCTTAATAAATAATTAAAAGACATAAAACATAGCCATTAAAATTATTATAGATTCCTAAACATATTTTCATATGAAAGTGGAACAGTAAATTTCTCTTGGTGGTAGATTATGTGCAATTTTAATTTTATTTTTATCATTTTTCTATGGAATACTTATATAAAAAGAAGTAATTGTTTTCAAAAGAAGTATCAACAATATGGTATTACCTCACAGAAGAAGTAGTACTTCATCCTGAGATAAGGTGGTTAATAACGACATTACTGAGTAGGTGACACCAAGATGGGTATTGAAAGATGAATGATGGGAATTCTTTAAAAAGTCAAGGGGAAGAGAGGTTATTCCAGGCAAGTGGATCGCTTAGGGAAAATGTACTTAAAAATATGACTGAATATGGAGGAATTAGAGATATCCAGTCCCTTGAGACTGAAGCACAGATTGTATGAAAGTGATATGGAAATTGTTGCTGGGAGGTTGGAATTTACTCTTATACCATGTTAAGGGGGATGGCCTTTGAGAAACAATTCCCAATAAGTCAAAAGTTATGAGCACAGCTCCTTTAATGCTCTCTTAACACCCGTGATATTTTGAGAAAACATATGAAGGAATGAAGATTTTAGATGGATGTCTATGGACATGGTAAGGTGTCTCAAGATTTTACATAGCTCAAGGCAGGAAGCTTACTGTTATCTTTATGATACTCTTAATATTACATTGACTATTCCAAAAGTTGAGTTCAATATTATAATTAAACATGACTACTAGAGAGCAACCTGTCTATTCCCCAAATAATGAGCTATAAGTATCCCAATCAACACACAAGTCCTGCTTTCAGATTGATCAAAGAGGCAAGTCTCACAGCCTCAGGTAGGTTGCTCCAGGTGCCCCAACTCAATGAGTCATTTTTCCTAGTGACTCAGTTCTAGTGCTCCTGTTTGCTGCTGCCAAAGCACACTTATGGAGGGCCAAAATTCTCGAGACACCAGTGTCTGCCCTTGCCAAAGTCATTTCTGCTTTGGAAGCAACATATGAACTACTTTGTCTCTTATTTGTTTCGTCCTGACCCCATAAATGATAGGATTCAGCATAGGAGGAGCAAGCATGCTGACATTGGCCAGCAGGATATGGACATGTAGTGGGACATGGCGTCCAAAGCGCTGAGTGAGGACTGAGAAGATCCCAGGCCCATAAAAGAGGATGATGACACAGACATGGGAGCCACATGTATTGAGAGCTTTGTGGCGAGCATCTCGGGATGGGATACGGAAGACAGCGCAAAGAATCAAAACATAGGAAACAAAAATTAGAACAATATCTAGGATCACTGTTGACATTAAGACAAAAAATCCATACCAGATATTGACTCGAATGTCATCACAGGAATACTTGGCCAAGCCAATGTGTTCACAGAATGTATGTGGGAGGATGTTGTTCCTGCAAAAAGTCAGCCTCTTTAAAAGAAATATCATGGGAAAAATTGTACCATGTGCTCTCAACAGAACAGCCACACCAATTTTCCCTATTAGAGAGTGGGGGAGTATCATGGTATACCTCAATGGATAACATATTGCAATGTAGCGGTCAAATGCCATGATCAGCAAGATGCCTGACTCAGATATGAAGGAGGAATGCTGAAAGTAAAGCTGGGCAATGCAGCTATTAAGAGAGATTTCCCTACTATTGCACCAGAAAATGGCCATTGCCTTGGGTTCTGTTGTTGTGGCAAAGACAATGTCAACTCCAGCCAGCATACAGAGGAAAAGATACATCGGTTCATGGAGGCTGCTCTTGATGAGGATAATGAAGATGAGAAGACCATTTCCAAGGAGGGTAAAGACATAAGAGATAAATAAGGGGATGGAAATCCACATGTGTAGGTCTTCTCTACCTGGAATGCCCACCAGATAGAAGACTACATGGTTAACACCAGTGTGGTTGAAGCTAGCCATCCCCGAGGCAGGCTAATGTGGACTTTAACTTCACCTAATACAGATAAAGAGAAAGAAAGATTATATGTAAATGTTTTCCTTTAGTTTCCTGATTAAATATATCAAATTAAATGCCTGCTTTTACCAAAGTTTCCTCCTAATGCCCCGCTAAAATATTAGTAAAATAACATCATAAAATAGAAAGTAAAAGGAAGCTAATAGCAGAAAAGTGGCAACATTTTGAAAGCAGGTGGATGACTATTGATTAAACAAATAGGATAAAACTGATAGCTTCAAATTGAAAACAAGAATCAAGATCATTTTTACCATAAAACCCAAATGTCTCAAGAATTAAAGATATATATTTCTCCAAAGAGATAGATGGGATTTTTTAAGGATTTTTGGTTGAAAATCTGTATAAAGAACAGTTAGACTACTGGATCCTCTTTCCCAACCTGTTCACCACTTCTCTTACCCAGAAGAATACTGGAGATTTATTCTTTGGTGAATCTAAGCATAGCTGGGGCAGCAGTACTATGCTAAAAGCAGAGGACTAAGTGAAAGGCTACATACTCAACAAAATGAAACCCCAGTGAACTTCTCCTCCTACGTATGCCTGCTAATGCTAGCTTACAACCCCTATATCCATATCTTACAACTCATTTTGATTTAAGAATGGGGCACTAAAAAAGTGATTAGAGGTTCTATGTGTGGGCATTAGGTTTGTTTAGGGAGACATTTCCTGTCAAACTACTCCAATCAAGAATTTTACATCAAAATAAGTCAAACATTTTAAGATTATAAAAAGTTAGTTATATCTTAAAAGACCTCAGAAAATTGACCTCCCATTGACCCTGTCACAGGAAGCTACTAAAAGATAAGCACCACCAAAATAAGGAAATGAACCAAAACTAGGGAAATACAAGCTCCAAAAAAAGAGCTCAAAGTAATACAGTGCACTAGTGAGGGAATTTCTTGAACAATGGTGAAGGCTGACAGGTGTGAAGAGTCCTAGACTATTGTGAATCTAGATTAAATCAAAGGGATAGAGGACACTGAAAGGAAAAAAAATGTTTTGAAAGAATATATATTTCTAGTGTAAAGTACGGCACGTAAAAACTAGATAAACAGAAAAATAGATATCATTTTCTCCAGGGGAGAAAAAAATGTTATATAAGAGAAGAAAAGTGATTATTTGTCATTGTATACCTCAGATGTTATAGTCATAATAATGTAAACATAAATATGTATCTTAATAATCAAACATCAGGAAAAGGGAAATCTTCACATGTCTGAATGTGTGTGTTGCGGGGGCAGAAGGCTTACATGTAGGAAAGTTAAATATCTATCTTTCATATAAGAAAGTCAGTGAGCAACATCTATAAATGATTAAAAATATATGTAAAACAGAAAATAGTGATATAAGCATGCTCTTTGTCTATATGGAAATAAATACTAAATAAACAACTACAAAGTGTTGGTAGGGTAAGTGGAGACAGTCTGGCTCCCTCACCCAGATGTGTGGGTAACTGGAAGGAGCAGCTTCTCACAGTCTGGAAGGAGTCTGATAAAGCAGTGTTCTCATAGCCTTGAGCCTGGGTCGCATGGTCTTGAGCCCAGGTGAGATAAACTGCCCCGTAGCCTTGAGTGGGCTCGCTTGTGCAGCTGGTGCTAGTTACTTCACTTTCTGGCCTGCAGCCGGCTTTGTTTGGGTCTAGTACTTAAGGGGTAGGAGCTTTGGAGGAGGTGGGGAGTCAGGGTGCTGGCTTGGACGTCGGCTTGCAGCCTGTGTGACTTTCCCAAATAAAGGCATGTCAAGCATCCCCACGGCTCCACACATCTTCCGTCTACCCGCATCTTTCGTGGATCTGCCCTGCCTAGGGAGGCTGCAACAACGTGTTAAAGTGGCTTTTCTGAGGAGCAGGAATCAGAGGTAGAATGGGGCAGGGAATCAGTTTTTTTTTTTATTGTAAGTCTTATAGAAGAGTTTTTAGACCATGTATATGCATAGAATTTATAAAAATAAAATTGAAAACAAATTACTGCAATTAACTGCCTGGATCTTCTTCACCTAAAACAAATTTGTAGCAGCTCATAACTCTCTCTCTTTCCACCACCCCCACCCTGCCCTTCATTTTAAATTGTGGAGCCAAAATTCCTATTCTCTTTAGACACCAGATTACCCCCTTAGAGAATACAGAGTGGCTCAACTAAACTGGCTCCTCTCTCTTAAGAGGAAAGTCTAGAGAAGTTGGCATTAAAGCCGGCATAGACAGTCTGGTAAAAAATGTTTCCTGCAATGTATAATTGCCTCCAGTACATTGCATGCTGTTTAAAAAAAAACACATACTTTTCCAAGAAATGCCATGTTCCTGGAGGAAATGGAAAAGTGTCACCAAAAACAAGGAGGACACAGGGGTACACCGTAGACCTAATGACAAAAGAACAGGTGAAGGCAAGAAGAACAGAACTAGAGATAAAACAGGATCAGAAGTTCGATGGAGAACTGCCTTCAGAAGCTGACGGAGGCTTTGAGAAAAAAAAAAACAGTGGCAAGGGGCAGGGGACATGTTTTGGCTGGAGATATAGAGGACAGTCAAGGAGTTGGGGAATGGCCTTTGGAAACAGTTGCCTAGAAAGATTCCTGGTCCAATTTCAGTTTTGTCCTAAATTTTGTCTTCTCCATGCCTTCTTCCAAAAGAAGTTTTCCTGACCCTGCTCAAGGCATTCCCCTGCTTTGTGCCACTGAGCACTTTTGCTGTCTCTCTCACCTAGAACTTCTTAGAATCTGCAAGGGTAGCAATCCTTTGCCTACATAATCCATCTCCCCTAAGTCACAACTTTCTAAATGTTAGAAAACATATCTTATTAATCAGAAACTACGTCTTTATCTATGAAGCACTTCTAACAAATTTTGAATTCTTTAATGGATTGGACATGTCCTTTTATCACTGTTTACCTAGAACCTAGCACAGAAGGAAAGGCAAACAGGAGAGTAAGAGGGAAGGAAGCCAGGTGAGAGACATTTAAGATCAGTGGCCAAAGCAAGGTTTTCCTTTGAGGACTCAGGTGCCTAAATCCAAATGAGACTTAGAAAGTCCTACGAGAACCAACTTTTTCTTTCCTACCAGTCCAAATATTGGCCATGGGTCTCCTCTACAATATGTTCATAATCTGTTCAAAGTCTGTAGACAAAGAGCCTGCTATTTCAACATCACAAATAAGTTCCATTACCTTGGGCCTGTGAGGAGATCCAATATCTAGGTCTATTCTCCCCTATTCCTAGACTCTCACCTCACATATGGCAAAGTCAGTCATCAGCATCAGACCAGAAATGGAACCAGGGACTGGAGGAAACCCGGAGAATTGCAGATAAGACTACAGAAATGATTATGAGTTCTCAAGAGGGCACTTTTATTTCACAGCCCCATTGCCCTTGGGTTCTGACTCCACCAACTTGCCCACAATCCCACATGGGCCAAGTCATTATGCCTACTCCCTGCTACCTTTTTCTGTTGATACCTGGTCTTGGGCACCTCCAGTTATTAGATCTCTATCTTCAAATTTTATGTGTGCATATTTTTGGCTTTATATACTCAGGGGCTTTCACTCCTAACTTAATATTTCCTCCTAAGAAATTGGGAGGATGCCGGGGTATGAACCACCAGGAATCTGTCTCCCTACCTAGACAAAAGTCACAATGGTAGAACCTGTCTAATACAGGAACTTTGAAACTCTGGAGTCTATTGAAGGCTTCCAACTTCCATGGGAAGGCATGGACAGTAACTTGTGATTAATTTTGGTCCCTTTTATCTCTTAGCCCAATAGGAGCTATTCACCCCTACCCTCAGTTCTATGGCAGGAAGCTGTGCATGTTTTCCTGGACAGCTTGCATGCAGCTAACAGGAGCCAGGATATGCGAAAACAATCCTCTTCTCCAATATCAGGAATTTCTGTTCTGATTACCAATTGCCACCTCTGATCTCAGAGATACAGAGGCCAGGGAGCCATTGTTATTATATCTCCCTCCAAGTAAAGTGACTTCCAGGGGTTTGAACAGATAACATCCATTTTCCTTCCTTATTTTTCTCTTTTTCCATTTTTGGGAGCTAGATATTAAAGATTAAAACATGTGAAAGCAACTGCGTAATGGGAGCATTTTTGGAAAAGTGACCATGCATACCCAGGAGAAGGTATAAGCCCAGCAAAGACCTACCAAGACCTTAAGTTTACATGTCAGGTTGCTCTTTGGCACAGAAACATTCTACAACAATCAAATGATTAAAACAATATACAAAACAATACTTCTTTAGCTGCATCCTACAGATTTTGATATTTTGGGTTTTTTCACTTTAATATAGTTCAAAATATAGTTCTTGACCCATTGATTATTTGAAGTATATTTTTACACAGTTGTGGATTTTTAAATAATCTATGTAATTGATTTCTTTTTAATTCTACTATAGCTATACAACATGCTCTGAATGATTTCATTTCTCTGAAATTTGATGAATATTGCTTTAAAACTTAGCACATGGCCAATTTTGGTAACTGCTCTCTGTGCATATGAAAAGATTGTGCATCCTCTTGTTATTGAATGCAGTAGTCTATAAATATTTAATAAGTAAAATTTTAAATTATGTTAATTAAATTCTGCACCCTAATTAGTCTTATTAGTCTTTTGTCTCCTTGTTTTTCATCTCTTGAGAAGTGTGTCAAAATCTTCCACTATGATATTAGATTTGTTTTTCCTTTTAGTGCTGTCTATTTCTACTTTATGTATCTTATAGCTATTATACTACTTGGTGCATATAGGTTTAGAATATTTATGTCTTTGTAGTGAACTTATACATTAATTGTTATGAAATATCCCCCTACATCTCTAGTTATGATTCTTACCCTAAAGTTTACTTTCTTTTCATTAATACAGCAACATTGGTTTTCTTCTGGTTAGTGTTTATGTGGTATGTCTTTTCCATCTTTTTATTTCTAACTTTTCTATGTTTCTATACTTCAGAAATGTCTTGCCCTGCCTGATATGGCCCAGTGGACTGAGAGCTAGCTTGCAAACCAAAGGGTTGCTGGTTCAATTCCCAGTCAGGGAACATGCCTGGATTGCATGCCAGGCCCCCAGTAGGTGGCCCATGAAAGGCAACCACACATTGATGTTTCTCTCCCTCTCTTTCTCCTTCCCTTCCCCTCTCTCTCTAAAAATTAATAAATAAAATCTTTAAAAGAATTTTTTTAAAGAAATTTCTTTGTAAGCAGCATATATTTTCTTTCATCTGTGACCTAATCTAAGTAAAGTAAGTTCAGTTATTTACTATTTTTAAATATTTTATGAGTTTTACATCATATTTAAGAAATCTTTTGCCAAGCACAAGAGGGTCTTTAGGGAGGCGGGCATATAGTGATCCAAAGTGTTTAAGCACCATCTGTAGAAAAGATTATGTTATTCCCATAGAATCTCCTTGTCACTTTTGCCAAAAATAAGTTAACTAGTTGGCAAAAAAGACAGAGTAGAGAACTCCAAAGACCTGGGGGTTTTTTTGCAGCAACACTAAAAAATGAGTAAAATTTGTAAGAATCAACTTTCTCAGAACTCTGAAAAATAGTCAAGACTTAGAGCATCCAAGCAAATGTGGAATCAAGAAAAAGATTATTTAAACATATTTGTCTATTTTCACTGTCAGGATGTTGTCTGAAGGACTAATACAAGCTACTCACATTTGTTTTGCCTAAATTTGACCAGTCTCAGGACATAAAAGAAGCTACATGGAAGATGTTTCTCAAAACATAGAAAAGCAATGAATTGGGGCATTTTGCTATCATTGCCACCTGATACAAAAGAATACAGTTAGGACAAACAATAAATAGACCAAAAGATTGGGGGGGTGGAATCTTTGGTGAATAAAGGCCTTTACATATAACAAACAGGAAATTTAGAAAGCCTCACTCAAGCCTAGAGCAAGATGCATGCTCAAAAAACACACAAAAATAAGTTGTTTTACTATACACTATCAATAAACAATCAAAATTAAGAAAACAACTTCATTTACAATATCATCAAAAAAAATAATTATCAATAAATTTAACCAAGGGGGCATAAGACTTGTACACTAAAGCCCTGGCGGATGTGGCTCAGTGAATTGAGCACCAGCCTGAGAACCAAAGTGTCACCAGTTCGATTCCCACTCAGAGCACATGCCTGGGTTATAGGCCAGGTCCCCAGTAAGAGGCGTGTGAAACACACATTGATGTTTCTCTCCATCTCTTTCTCCCTCCCTTCCCCTCTGTCTAAAAATAAATAAAATCTTTAAAAAAAAAGAGTTGTACACTAAAAACCACAAAACATTACTGAAAGAAATTCAAGACAAGAAAGAACTCTATTGTGTTGCATTAGAATTAGAGCTATCAGTATAAATTAATCATTCTGGGAGAATAAGAAAAAAAAAACTTTTTTTCTTCTTGGCTCTGGTAAATAAAAAAGGCTAGAAACAATAACACCAGAATAGCATGTCTAGTGTTCAAACTTGTTTTCTAAATATTATTCACCATTAAAAGTCTGTAAGGGATTTTGCAGAAATCATTTATTCCAAGGCTGAAGTGGGAAATTTTAAGATGATTCTGAAACACCTTGTGCTAAAATGTAACGAAGTGCTCAAAAAATACAGAAATATCACACAGGTTACAAGAGCTAGTTTGGTGTAGCTCTCAATCGTCAAACCTGGAAGAATTTTTTGAGTACCAAAATGAATAATCATAGCACTGGATTATAAATTGTTGAATAAAAAAAACCCATAAATCCATATTCATAAAAATAATAAATAGGAAGCCTCTTATTTATAATAGAATATCAACAAATAAATGTAAAGAGAAATACTGAGTTGGAAAACCACCATTTACAACCATCAAAATAAAAACTGATTCAGGCAAGAATCACCAATGAATGTTAACAATCCTTGATATAGGTTTGTTTGGGAACAGTATATTTTACAGCTCACACAGGAGGGGCACCTGGAGTGTCCTTCTTGGGTAATTGGGGAAGCTGTGCCACTGGATGCTACAGGACACCTACTATATAAGGCCACTCTACCAAGCCTGGGATATGGAGCAGCTCTACCTAATACAGAGAAACAAAAACAGGGAGGCAACTTAAATGAGGAGACAAAGAAATGTCTCAAATGAAAAAACAGAACAAAACTCCAAACTAAACAAAATGGAGACAAGCAATCTACCACATGCAGAGTTCAAAAAACTGGTTGTAAGATGCTCGATGAAATTAGGGAGAGAGTCGCTGAAATTAGTGAGAGCTTCAACAGACAGTAAACATAAAAACAGAGATAAAAAACATTTTAAAAAACAGTCAGAAATGAAAATACATATACATCCATATGTTCATTGCAACGTTATTTACAATAGCCAAGATATGGAGACAATCCAAGTATCCATCAATAGATGAATAAAGAAGGGGTGCATATAGACAATGGAATATGACTCAGCCATAAAAAAAAAACCCTGAAATATTGCCACCTGTAACAACATGAATGGACCTAGAGTATATTGTGCTGAGTGAAATAAATCAGACAGAGGAAGAAAATGCCATATGATTTCACCTATATGTGCAATCTAAAAAACAAAGTAAATGAACAAGCAAAACAGAAACAGACTCCCTGATACAGAGAATATTTTGAAGGTTGCCACAGGGAACAGTTGGGTGGATGGGTGAAAAAAAAGGTGAAGAGATTAAGAACTACAAATTTGAAATTACCAGATAGTCACAGGGATATGGTGTCAGAAGAGTACTAGATTTATCAGAGTGATCACTTCATAAGTTATACAATGTCTAATGGTACACCTGAAACTAATATAATATTATATATCGATGTAACTAAATAATAAAAAATTGTTTAAAGTCAAAAAAGAAAAATAAGCTGATGCAAATGTCCTCTAATACAGCTATATGATTTTAATACTCTGAATAGTTCAAAACAGAGATAAAAGATTTAAAATGTTATCCTAAATTCCCTTTGCAGAGTAGAGCTGCAAAATAATTTGTGAACTTATTTTTAAAAAAATAAAATGTTTCTAAAAGGGAAAAATAATTAAAATACGTTACAAAATAATATGAAAATGAAATACAAATTTCATTTTAAATTTGTCAAAATCACAAAGAAAGCTGTGTAGGAATAAGTGTTTTTAAAATAGTCTACATATTTTATAGTCAATTTATATGTGCTAATATAAATAAGATTACTTACTAATTGACATTAAAACAGAAACAGAAATATATGGTGTGACAATCCTAACAGTTTATTCATTGGAAATAATATATGTGCAACCCAATCCAGGGATGGAGTTGTACAAAAGGGGTGGTGTTGGCAGACATGAAGAGCCATAATAACTTAACCCACGTGTATATGACGGGCAGGGGGAGTTGTTGAAAGCACACCTGAGTTCCCCGAGGTGCTGGCTTCCCCTGGCGTCTTCAGGCAAATACATAGATATCTCTGCTCCCTGGTTCCCGGCACTCAGAGACCTTGTTTCACCACATTCTAGGCGATGAAGACAGCATTTGAAGCAGATGAAAAAGATATGCATTGTCTGGTAAACTTCTAGGGGGTAAAAAAGAGAGTATTCTTTTTATACTAAAGGACAATGGGATCTAAGGTAAATATTTAAGAACAATAGTAAGCATAGTGATATCTAATGCTCTCTAATTTAAAAACTTATGGTGGTTGACTACCTCCTCCTAGGACAGCATTGAAGCTCTTTAATTTGTAATAAGAGCCAATATAATTTTGTTTCTATCTTTTTACCATTGTGTAATAGAAGCAATCAAACAACTACACAGGATTGCAAACTGTTTTAAATGCATTAAATATTTACATGACAACAGTCTACCCTTAAACTCCCAAATGACTTCATCCTATTTTCCACCTAATTCACCTCCATCCAATGACATCCTACAGCTAAATACACAGAATTACCCATTCTGTTGGGTTCCCATAGTATTTTTTTACCATTGACATGTTCACTTAGCATATTATTAAATTGGCTATAAACATATCTATCTTCTCTGTAAGATTGTTACCTCACTGTGAAAAAAAAAACAAAAAAAAAGCAATGTCCTATTCTTTTTTTCATCCTCGTTGTTCCTGACATGCTGTTTATGGACAAGAATCAAAAAGGAACCATACGGTTTGAGTGCAGTCTGAAGTTTTGATAGTGCCTGTAAACAGAAAGTGAGGTCCCAGGTCATATGCTCCAGGCATGACTACCTTAAACCGCACTGGTGTTAGCCACACAGTCTTCCACTTGCTGAGCATCCCTGGACTAGAGGACAAGCACATGTGGATTTCCATCCCCTTCTTCATCTCCTATGTCATCGCCCTGCTTAGGAACAGTCTCTTCATCTTCATTATCCTCACCAAGCGCAGCCTCCACAAACCCACGTACCTCTTCCTCTGCGTGCTGGCTGCAACAGACGTTGCCCTCTCCACGTGCACAGTACCTCAGGCCTTGGCCATCTTCTGGTTCCAAGCTGGGGAGATCTCCCTGAATCGCTGCATCACTCAGGTGTTCTTCCTCTCTTCCACTTTCATGTCTGAGTCAGGGATCTTGCTGGTGATGGCATTTGACTGCTACATTGCCATATGCTACCCACTGAGATACACCACCATTCTTACACATGCACTGATTGGGAAAATTTGTGCTGTCACCTTTCTGAGAAGTTATTATACAGTATTCCCCATAATATTTCTTCTGAAAAGACTGACTTTTTGCAGAACTAATATTCTCCCAAATACTACTTGTAAGCACATTGTCTTGGCCAAAATTTCCTGTAATGACATCCGAGTAAATATCTGGTATGGTTTTTGTCTTAATGTCAACCTTGGTCTTAGACATTGTGCTAATTATTGTTTCATATGTGCTTATTCTCTGTGCTGTCTTTCACATCCCATCCCGAGGTGCTCGCCACAAAGCTCTCAGCACATGTGGCTCCCATATCTGTGTCATCATCCTCTTCTATGGGTCTGGCATCTTCTCAGTCCTCACTCAGTGCTTTGGACACCACATCACACTTCATATTCACATTCTGCTGGCCAATGTCTACATTCTCATTCCACCTATGTTAAATCCCATCATTTATGGGATTAAGACCAAGCAGATAAGGGACCTGGTAGTTCATTTGTTGTTTCCAAAACAGAAATGACTTTTTTTATTATTTTTTATTTTTTTATTTTTGTTTATTCTATTAAAGTTGTCCCCCTTTGCCCTCCTCTGTCCAGTGACAACATGGATGGAACTAGAGATTATTAATGCCAAGTGAAATAAGCCACTTAGTGAAAGAAAAATACCATATGATCTCACTTATAAGAGGAATCTAATGAACAAAATAAACTAATGAGCTTAAAAGAACCAGAGGCATGGAAACTGGGAACAGACTGACAGCTGCCAAGGGAAAGAAATGACTTTAATAATGGAATCTAACCTTATACTTTTCTCAGTGAGCCTCACAATGCTTGAGGTTACTTTTTTTAACAGGATGCGGAGGAATAGGAATGCAGCGTAGATATTAGTTAAATGTCTCTGTGTCTTGTTTTCTTAGAGCAATTGTATCAGTAATGTGTAAGTGAATGTTTCTTACAAAGCCTTGAATAAATCATGAGCTATCAGTGTTTTGGGGGTCTTAGTTAGCCTTCTCATTCATAGAATTTAGAACTGGATCTGTTCATCTCTGTATTTCTAGACTGAAGGTTAGAATGCAATGAAGGGGAGACTGGCCTTCCCTGGAAAATTGTTCAGCTATGCTGGGAATTCTATGCTTTGAATGGTTGCACTTGTTTTATTTTTCTCATTAGGACATTTTTCTCATCATTCACCCCTGTCATATCTATCTTCATATTTTTGCTTTTATATATTATAAAATTCATCCATATCTTATATATATACCTCATTCATATATATTCATAGTATAATTTTAGCATAAATGATGAGTGTTTATGTAAATATATTTTTATTCTCTTTTACAACACAAAACATAGCAAAAGTTTACTAATCCTTATGTTCATGACATTTTTATTTATATTGTCAATTTTTAGAAGAAAAAATTTAACATGAGACCAAGTTGCACACATAAGAACAAGTATTAAACAACAAGGAACATCAAGGCTCTGGCAGAGCAAAGGTGACTCATGGCATACAGGAGTCATAAAGAGAAGATCTGAGTGACATGACTCCAAAGAAAGATCTGGAGGGTCAGCTACTGAGGCGTCAGTCTTGAGTTAATATCCCACACCACCCTCAGGCACCATCTTCCCAGGCTTGAACACTCCTATTCTTACAGCACCATCCTAGGAGTACACTAGCCTGGTTTTCCAAATTCTAGTGACACCACCCTGCCAAGCGTAAGTCTGGCAGGAAGGACTGTTGGCTGCATCCAATAGGAATCTTTGGTGTGCTCTTTTCTCTGAAGAAACTGTGCAGACACTCAGACAGGCGTTGAACTGTGATGCTTTGGAACGGGGGACAGCCTTTCTCTCCAACTGCAAGCTTGGCCAGCACCACCTCCAGTAGGAGACTGTTCTGTTCTATCTTCCCAAGTCCCAACAGCCCCACCACACTGGGCTCAGTTCTACAGGGAATAAACAGCTGCTAAGAAACGGCTGGGACCTTCGGAGCACATCTCCCTCAGAGGCTCCACTCTGGGACTCAAGTAGGCACGGCTACAGAGCTAGGGGAGGCATGGAATTTGCTCCCCTTTCAAGAGTTTGGCCGGCACCACCCCCAACAGAAGACTGTCTTGATCCGTTTTCCCAAGTCCCAGTGGCCCCACCCTACTGAGTTCAGCTCAGGGGGCCTAAGCCAACACCACTATGAACTTGGACCTCAGGAGCAAATCTTCCTCCACGGCTCTGGTACAGGGCTCAAGCAGGCATGACTATGCAGCTAAGGAAAGGCAAGGATCTCACTCCCTTCCTGTGGGCTCCAGTGGCACCACCCCAATGGAAACCTGTCTTGATCTGTTTTTCCAAGTCCCAGTGGCCTCCTCTTGCTGAGCTTGCTCCTGCAATGGGGATAGCTCGTTGTACCCAATCTGAACCTGTGGTGCACTCTTGCTGGGAAAGCTAGAGTTGAAGATTCTAGCAGAGACTGAGAGGTATAGCTCTGGAGTAGAGGCCACATTCTTTTAGCCTTCTTTTGTCTGGGAAACTCATTATTTCCCCTTCTATTTTAATTGAGAGCCTTGCTGGGTAGAGCAGCCCTGGTTGTAGGTCCTTGTGTTTCACTACTTGGAATATTTCTTGCCATTCCCTTCTGACTTGTAGCGTTTCTGTTGAGAAGTCAGCTCTTAGCCATATCGGGGCTCCCTTGTATGTTACTCCCCATTTCTCCCTTGCTGCCTTGAGGATTCTCTCTTTGTCTTTGATATTTGCCGTTTTAATGATGATGTGTCTTGGAGTGGGCCTCCTTGGGTCCCTCTTGAATGGGGCCCTCTGTGCTTCCTGGAACCATGAGATCTTTTCTCTCCTCAAATTGGGGAAATTTTCCATCATTACTTTTTCAGAGGTTCTCTATCACTTGCTCCTCATCTTCTCCTTCTGGTATCCCTATTGTGTGGATATTATTGCGTTTCAGGTTGCCCTGCATTTCTCTAAATGCCTCTTCATTCTTTTTGAGTCGTTTTTCCATTTCTTGTTCTTTCTGGAAGCTTTCTTCTCCCTTATCCTCCATCTCACTGAATCGATCCTCGGCTTCATCTAGCCTGCTTTTGATTCTTTCTACTGTGTTCTTCAATTCAGAAATGGTACTCTTCTTATCCTCTTGTGTCTTCTTGATAGTTTCTATGTCCTTTTCCATGTTTATATAGTTTGCTGTAAGATCCTGATAGTTTCTCTGCAGTTTCTCATAGATCTCTTTGAGCTGGCTGAGCTCGTTGAGCTTCCTTAGAGCCATTGTTTTGAATTCAATATCTGATAGTTCCCTTGTCTCTATTTCATTTAGCTCTCTCTGTGGGGATTCCTCCTTTCCCCTCATTTGAGGGGAACTTCTTTTTCTTCCCATTTTTGTGAGAGTCTATTATTTATTTATTTATTTATTTATTTATTTTAAATTTATTTATTTATTTTTGCTTCTGCTTCAATTGATCCATCTAGATTTCCTGACTTCGTGGATTAAACTTCTATGGTAGTAGGTGGGTCTTTTTATTTTTTTTTTTCCTTTACTTTTCTTTCTGGGCCTGCCTCTGATGATGTCAGTTGTTGACCCTATTTGACCTTGGGTTGTTTGTTTGAGCCTTCCAGGAATCTACTGTCTGTGTCTGACTCCTGTGATTGTCAATCTGGTCACTCTGTCCTCATCTGTCAGGCTTAGGCACCACAGGGCAGGGCAGTGCCTCCTGATGGTGGGACTATCGTGCCCTTATAGGCTGCTGTCACTCAGGGGAGTAGTCCGCCTGAGCCAAATGGAGATGGTGGACTGGGGAAGAGTCAGCACCAGGACTCCCCAATGCCTCTGTCTCCAGTGTCTCCTCGAGGGTCTTTGGGGAGCGCTGTGACCCCTTCCACCAGGGATCCACTATTTCTGCAGATTGCTCTGCACTCTCATGCTGGCTCACTTGAGCGCCTCCACTGCCCGGGCATTCCTGCGCTCTGGCCCCGGCTGGCACACTCTCCAGACCACTCACGCTCCCCAGCGGCCCAGGCGCGTGCCTGGCATTCGTCAGTTTAGGGTCCTCTATGGTGCGCTTTCCTGCTTTTGGCTCTTTGGGGGCATGGCCTGCCCAGGCCAAATGGAGACTACAGAAAAGGGAAGGAGTCAGCTCTGGGACTCTCCAGTTAATCCTGTCTCTAGTCTCTCCCCAAGGGTCTCTGGGCAGCTCTGTGACCCCTTCGGCTAGGGATCCACTATTTCTGCGGACTGTGTTGTATTGGCGAAGCTTCTGGCTCCAGCGCCTGCTTCTGCCTCCTCTGTTTCTGTTTTAATGGCAATTAGTAAATAATACTATTTATATTAGCACATATAAATTGACCATGAAATAGACAGTTCTTAAAATTTATTTGTGATTTTGACAAATTAAACTAAAATTTGTACATTATTCTTCATATCAATTCATAGTAAATTTTATTTTTTCCCCCTTTTAGGAACATAGTTTTATTTGGAGAGTCAGCCTATGGACCAAAAAGTCACCAGTTCAATTCCCAGTCAGGGCACTGCCTGGGTTGGGGGTTTGGTCCCCAGTCAGGGCACATATAAGAGGCAATTGATTTAAATTTCTCTCACACGTCCATGTTTCTTTCCCTGCCTTTCTCCTTCCCTTGCCCTCTCTCCAAAAATACATAAATAAAATCTTTTTTAAAAAAGAAAAATTTATATTTTTCTGTCCCATTCTTTCATTTCTTTTTGAAATCCCAACAATACATATGTTAAACCTTTGAAATTGTAGCACCAGCACCTAAGAGTCTCTTCATTTTTCCCACTCTTTTTCTCTCTTTTGTCAGCTGGATAATTCTATTTAAAGATTTAACAATCTAATTTTTGAAGCAAGATTACCTTGGTCAAAGTGTAAATGCATATGTAGTGGTCTATTTGAAATATTCCCTTTATAAAGGCCATTTTAATACTGTTTTTTTACTGTTTTTATTACAATCAATGATGTATTAAATTCCCTTTTTCTCACATCCTTGCCAGCACAGTAGACTGTCAAGCTTCTCAACATCTGACAGTCTAATACTGTCTCAGGTATGGCTGAATAATTCTTTCCTCTATTAGAGACACAAGCCAATTATCCATCATGCAGTGCAGCTTATTACTCAGTTCCTTGGATCTGTGATGGCCTCATGACTAGCATTAACCAATGGAATGGGGATGAAATATTATTAGGTCCTCTGCTCAGTGCATCTACAGTGAAATATAATCAGTCCAAACGTGATTAGATAAACAAGAGGAGATGTTGGTGTAGAGTGGACATGGAATATGAGGGATAAGAAATAATTAACAATTAAGCTATTGACTTACTTCTGTGTTGGACTTTAAGGCATTTCTTTCATTTTGGGGTGTTTTATAACTTGTTATTGTAAAAAAAAAAAAAGAAGGAAAGAAACATACAATGCAGAAACAAACAAATGAATAGCTTAATGAATTATTTATTTTAAGTCACATCTCACCCAGGTTAAGAAATAAAAATTTCTCAAACACACCTGAAGTAATGTT